GTAGAGAAATGATGTCAATCATTTTAACTGGGGTTTTGTGACAAAGAGTCATACTCACTTGTAAAAAGAACCAAAGGACTTGTGCGGTCAATAAGACAGGTGAGAATGACAGTTTTAGGAGGAGGGATGGGGTTGGGGAAGATGGGGGCAAGACGAGAAGTTCATAGCAGTTTGGTTGTGGTCAGAATAAATTTGGAGTTGCATTTGACTTAACACAAGAGTTTTAAAAATGACATGGAAAGATCTATTTTTAAGACACATAGTGGCTGGACATGGTGGCTCACACCTATAATCCCAGCACTTTGGGAAGCCAAGGTGCGTGGATCACCTGAGGTCAGGAGTTTGAGACCAGCCTGGCCAACATGATGAAACCCCGTCTCTACTAAAAATACAAAAATTAGCTGTGCATGGTGGTGGGCACCTGTAATCCCAGCTACTTGGGAGGCTGAGGAGAATCACTTGAACCTGGAAGGCGGAGGTTGCAGTGAGCCAAGATTGCGCCATTGTATTCCTTGGGTGACAAGAGTGAAACTCCATCTCAAAAAAAAAAAAAAATAAATAAAAATGGGGGGAGGGCATGTAGTGCTTTTCTCTGGACAATAAAAAGGACTTGGGCTTGGGTAGTGAAAGAGGGAAGTGGCCTTTACCTGTAATATCTTTATTTTTTGAAGTGGGGGCTATATGAATATGTTACTAATTTATTTTTCGAAGCATAGACACAGGTAAAAGAATCTGAAAGCAAATAAGACTAAGTGCAATATTTATTCTATTGGTGGGAACTTGGGTGACTATCATTAAATTGTAATTGCTCAAAAATGTGTTTTTATCCAAGGCCTTTGGTGTCATTAAGAGGTATCCGTGTTTGTTCGATCCAGGGCTGTCTTCTTGGAGGAAGGAGAAAACCAGGAGAGGGTAAGATTCACTTTTTGTCTGTCTGAAAGAAGCCTATCTCAGGGTGCATTCAATCAGAAATCGCTGTAAATATTGACTTGAGTATTTTTAAAAGGAGTCGTATGTTTATGGAGAGAAAATGGCTGGCTGGTACTGATAAGTGCACGTTCTACTTTCTTGGGGCACTGAGCCCTGGAGGAGCATCACCCTGAGACAATGTGCCAATTAACAGAACCACTGCTCATAGGTGGATGCCATCCAATTTTCAGGCAAATGGCCAAGGATTAATTGGCTGGCCTGTACAGTGAGTCACACAAACCCAAACTCAGCTCTTGCTCCTGCTCTCGCTCCGTTCTGTGTGGGCAGGAACAATCTGCTGTTTGCAGACTTCGATGCTCCTCTGCCCCAGCTAATTAGAGGCGAGCAGGCCACCAGCACGCAAGGCTTCTGCTGCCCAGTAGATTTTACAGTGGATGGGCTTGACCTTGTCCAGCTGTGGAAGCGTTAGAAACCCAAGACTCTCCTCTGGTCTGCATTTATTTTCTATTTCTCTGGATGGCCAAGATACTGCCTGCTCCTTTATCCTGAGTCAGATGCCTGTCCAGGGTCTCTTCTACCCCATGCAGGTCCTGGAGCCCTGCAGAGTAGGCCTGGCTACCCCCCAGTGGATAGGGCCAGCTCCCTGCTGTCTTCCTGCCTGGCCCACTACCTGGGGCCCGGGCTTGCTCCTGCTTTTCCTAGTCTTGTGTGGACCTCTCAGCTGATCTGGCTCAGGGCCAGGTGTCCCCTTATCTCTGCCTTATGATCGATGTTAGAGTGGGGCCCTGGTGTTGGGTGGTCTGTTCTCCTGGACCCCTGATGTGTGGTGTACCTAGGGAGGGACCTGCTCTGTCCTTGTTCGTCCTGTTCTCTCAGCCTTTTGTCCATTCTCTTGTGTGGTGCTCACTATGGTGCTCATGCCTCACATGTAACAGGCATGTTACACATTGGACCCTGACCTTTGTCTTCTTAGGAGTGAGCTGGACAAAACTTGTTCATTGCTCACAGTTATCACCGACGTTGTCTTTCTGACTCTGCAGATGGAGATAGACAACTTCAGGATCAGAGGGAGGAAGATTTACTTCTACCTTACCAGGAGAGTCTGGTCTTCAGCCTTGCAAACTGGAATGTTATAAAGGGCTGGTGACTGTCACTGGGATTTAGGCTTATGCAGAATCATAAAATAGTAATAAGGCATTTACTTTTTTGGCTCAAACTTAAAAATAATACCTGCTAAATGGGAATACAAATGCATATATACATATACATATTTGTAGATGCTATTTAAACTGATTTTCTTAAAACACAGAGTACAGTTAGTATTGTCAGTAATAAAGGAAGAGTTAATATTTTAGAGAAAATTTTTTTTTCAGGGATATTTTAATGCACAATAATTTTCGGTTGAGAGGAACTTCTTGGGGAAAAGAGTCTAATTCCTAGAGCTCATCTTCATCATTAATGCGCTGATATTTCCCAGGTTTCCAGAGTTTTATTCCTGTAACTCTTATGACTGTGTTGTTAGAATAGATTTTCCCGTTGTAAAAAAGATGTAATTTTTATTTCTTTACTAAGCATTTGGTCAATAATATTTTTGACTTTAAGAGACTACCTGTCATGAGAACCTTGCCAACAGTTCTGCATCATCACCAACAGGCTTGGTCTGTGTCTTCCCCTCCTAATGAAAAACTCGGAGTCTTTTGTTGATTCCTGTTTGATTTGCATGACAGATCCCAGTTGTGAGTTCATAGATGGTCCTTCTGAAGAACAAAGTATGAAAGGCACTAATTGAAATAAATTTTGGTTTTGTTTTGTAAAGCATGCTATTTTTATTTATTTATTTTCATTCACTTAATTTTTTGAGATGAAGTCTTGCTCTGTCACCCAGGCTGGAGTGCAGTGGTGCTATCTTGGCTCCCTGCAGCCTCCATCTCTGAGGCTCAATAAGTCCTCCCACCTAAGCCTCCTGAGCAGCTGGAACTATAGGTGCATGCCATCACACCCAGCTAATTTTTGTATTTTTCATGGCGACTGGATTTTTCCATGTTGCCAAGGCTGACTTCAAACTCCTGGGCTCAAGCCATCCTCCTGCCTTAACGTCCCAAGTGCTGGGATTACAGCTGTGAGCCACTGTGTCAGACCAAGCATGGTTATTTAAATTGGGATACTTCGTGTGAGTTATGCACAAATGAGGGCTTTTGTAAAGTTAAGGGTGCAGGTTTGATGTTTCTGTTGACAGATTAACAATAGCAGGACATGGATTTCTAAGCACTGACAGAAATATTGATGCTTGGTTAAGCAAACTCCATCAAGCATTAGTTCTCTCTTTTCTAGAAAAGCAACTTTCTAGGGAACTGTTACAGCTTCCTTTTTCTCTGTCAACCGTTGCAACTTTTTCTGATGATACAGATAACACTATATATTTTCAATGAGTGTGTCTTCTATTTTTGCATGATTTAACTGCAACTCATATTTATGAATTTTTGCTTGTTTTCTCTGAATTAAAACCCCAATTTTATTTTAAGTGGATTTGAATGGGATTCTATAGTTCCACTGTAGACAGATTCTTTTAAAGAATGTGGCCGAGAGGGAGAAGTGCAAATAGGTTCGTCTTACTCTATTTGCTGTTGATTTCATTGCTTTATGCGCAATCAGCCTGTTTTAAATATGATTCATTGATGGCAGCTACCACTGAACTAAGTGGTTTGCTGTGCAAGTTGCTAGCAGTGTTCATTCAACAGGGTCAAGTGTTTTATCCCCCAAAGGAAGCTGAATTCCATCGTTACCATGTCTAGCTCTTACTGAGAGAGTTTGCAGACATCCATGAATTTAATAATCAAACTATATTCTGCACTCACTGATGGGTAGTAATTACATTTTTGTGGGGTTGCAAGATACAACCTATGAGAACTCAGGTTAATTAATTTTTTTTCTGTTGTGTTCTCTAATAACACCAGTGTTTTAATAGCTGCAACATTTTCATGTGAGAGGTCCTTCAAGACTTGAAATTAGCAACAAGAAAATAACCTATCTTCTTTTCAACAATAATTGTGGAGCTCACGTAGAATAAAGGGACAGCCTAGGAAGGGCAGCCTGGAGATCGCAGCGGCCCTTCCCACTGTGGTCATATTCTCAGAGAGTCTGCACTGTGGCACTGATGACATTGCTAACATGCCCTCATTTAGTTCCCCTTGTTTATGGTAATCTGGAAATCTTACATGCCTCAAACCAAGCCTAATGGATTGTCAAGAAGCGGCAATAATGACATTTTATTCCATTATTATAATTTGTTTTCAGGAGGCATATTTTTAATTATTTGCATGAATAATGTCATTATGTATTCATGCCAATACAATTCTGATAATTAATTTACATGATGGAAATTTCTTAATGATTTTGATGTCAGAGTTAATAGCAACAGTTGATAGTCAATCTACGGATGTTGACATAAATTTGACTTTTAATATATTGTGGCCATCACCACCAGTGGTATAAAATTACTTTGCAGGGAAAGGAAAAAATCCAGTGGGGAAGAACTTCAATGAAAAAGAAAGCGAACCTTGCCCAGGGTTTATGGGTCCAGAACAAAATGCATATACTCAGATGTGACAAATGACTTACTTGGACACAGACCAGTGCAAATGAGCCTATCAAAAGCTTGTAGCTTCCCCGAAAAAGAGATTGCTGTGAAAATATTGTATGTACTGGAAGAAGTGCCGCTACTTGTTTTTAGTTTCATGTTTTTTTCTTAAAGTCTCTTGAAAAGTTTTTGGTGCCTTTTGTGTGCTACTTCTGTATTTTGCCTTTGATTGCTAATTTACATTTTTCTTAAAAAGTTTAATGGAAAACAATGTGACATTGTCATTTTAACTTACAGAACAAAACACATTGTGTGCCCAAGAAAATGTCTACTTTCCTCTGTTTCAGTCAGTTAAATGGCTCAGGTGTTAGAGTCTGTTATGAGAGAATAGACCCTGTTAATTAGGTAATCTTCCCCTCAAGTAACCTATACTGGGGGACGCTATATAAAAGATACTCTTTTTTTTTTTCCCTTTTATTTTGTAAAGACTTCCCAATCATGCAGGGCAGAGAACAGCTGATGTTCCCTTTCCACTTTGTTGACTGGCTTGGGAAACACGATGTGATCTGCACAGTCTCAGGGGGTGGGAGGTCGGCACAGGCTGGAGCAGTACGATTGGCAATGGCAAAAGCCTTGTGCAGCTTTCTCACTGAGGACGAGGTCGAGTGGATGAGACAAGCTGGACTGCTTACTACTGACCCACGTGTGAGAGAACGGAAGAAGCCAGGCCAAGAGGGAGCCCGCAGAAAGTTTGCTTATAAAAGATACTCTTTAGCCGGCTGTGGTGGCTCATGCCTGTAATTCAGTGCTTTGGGAGGCCAAGTCAGGCGGATCTCTTGAGTACAGGAGTTTGAGACCAGCCTAGGCAACATGGCAAAACCTCATCTTTACAAAAAGTACAAAAGGCACCCGGGTGTGGTGGTGTGCACCTGCAGTCCCAGGTACTTGGGAGGCTGAGGTGGAAGAATCCCTGGAACCTGGGAGGCACAGGTTGCAGTGAGCCAAGATTGCACAGCTGCACTCTGGCCTAGGTGACAGAGCGTGACCTTGTTTCAAAAAACAAAACAAAATTAAAAAAAGGTACTCTTCAATTTACACAGGTAAGGTAATTGTAGTTTCAGAGTGTTCATCTTAGAGTTGAGAGCTGTAAACAGCACATAGGACCCTCCCACTCAGATTCATATTCACATTCATGTTGATATGTGAGCACATATATGTGTATATGTGTTTGTATTTATATATGTACATACATGCGCACACATGTCTAGTTTTAAATCATTGGAATTTTATAGATCTTCTATTTTTCAAGTGGAGCACACTCTAAAATTCTGACTGACCAGGTCCTTGGTCCTGTCTGATGCAGCTGTTTCTAGAGGCTGACACTTCTTATATAGAATAAGGCATCTTCTTCCCTAACCCCTAGGGTAGGCTTTGCACCATGGGAAATGCTCAGGATTATGTAATTGATGAAGCCTCATTGCTTTTGATTCATTTAAAGTCACTAAAGTTTTTCTTTATGTAAAAATCAATTTTCAAATACGCAGATCCTTGAATAAGAAGAGTGTTGGGAAGTAATGAAAAATGTCAAGGTCAGTTATAATTTTAATTTTCTTTCGGCATTTGGAACCTTGTATTATGGTGCCTCAGCAGATGGAATAAGCCATCATGCAGCATTCTGTACAGGAGTTTGGCTATTTAAGGTCATCTTCAATCAAAATCAGGAGGAAGGGAAGCAGTGTACCCACAGATCACATATTTCCCTCTGCCCAAATTCGTTGGCATCCCTGCCATTGGCAACAGTAGCAGTGTTATCCAGTAGCTGGGAGCTAACTGATCGTCGCTATTTGTGGTTTGCAAAGTGGTTTTCCTAGAGCAGTAATTAGCATGAGGCAGATAGAAAGTATAGTTTATTCTGTTTCTCTCTTTGTTGGGTAAAGCCTGACTGCTTATGAAAAGCAGAAAGCACTCACTCTTACTATCTTCGCCTCTTTATGTTCTCATTTTCACTTCTAGAAAAAAACTAGAGGAAAAGGAAGAGTGGAACAAAAGTTGAAATACACAGAAAGATGAACTAATTCTGTTTAAGCTGCACCACTGAGCCAGTTATGCAAACTTGATTTTAATAAATATTTTTAAAGTACACATTTTTATTAGTTGGTTAAAAACACATCACCGCCATGGAGAATTGAAATATGATTTGGAAAGTTTCTGAGCGAAAGGTATACATTATCTGACTTATCAGAATTTGCTTGAAAAGTGTGAAATCACTTCCTATTGGCTTTGTTATAATAGAATTGCTCTTGATAATTTTAAAATATATTCCTCTGGGTGTTACGTACTATATAATTTAAGAAAAAAGTTTATAATTGATACAATAACTTTTCAACACTCTCATACCACTTTTTTACTCCTTCACATTACTGATTTCTAATTTGCTTTGAAAAATGTATTATGCTTATGAGGATAGTGTACACCTATTTACTGCTTAAAAGCTTAGAAATATGCCTTGGGTAAATCATGAATTACATATTACAAGTAACAGTGGACATTGTTACTTTGGATTTCCACACATATGCTATTTGTAATTGTTTACATATGTTAGAATCCCTTGCATTTAAATAGCTCATTATGTAAATATGTAGAAAATACTTGGATATTTATTTTCATGGAAACTTCTACTTAATCACTGAATTAAGGTGATATCTTAATGTTCACTGCTATATTTTATATTCAGTAAGTAACAGGTAAATATTAAAGCCTAAATTAAATCACATTTGACTTTTGAATGCTCCTGTTTGGAATAGATGTGATTAGTTCATTCTACTAGAGCTTAGTACTGATGGTGACAGGTTTTTGGGTAAACAGTCTTTGTTTTGCTTACTTTCTGGCTGGGATGGCTCCCATTTGCCACTGGGCAGTGGAGCCTTTGGCAGCAGAGAAGTTAATTGTTGTGACTTTATGGGCTGTGCACTGTGTTTTGTGCCATTTCAGTGTTGGGTCTAGGTTTGGTTTGGCCTCACTGACTTCCCAAAGCCAGAAGCAGTCCCAGGAAATTAAGCCCAATGCCTTGGTTTACAGATAATTTCCAATCCTGTACTTGGAAATAGGTTTATATATTGCTCATTCTTTGAGAATTGCCCATTTTGTTTTGGGTCTATTGACACGCTTGGCCCTGCCACAGAATGACATCAGCTTTGGGAAGTCCAGCCTTGACTCAGAATCAGCTGGAGCCTAGCTGGTGATCTAGGGGCCATTAGAATCCCTGTGGAGGGAGGGATAGCTCATGTGAAGGCTGCTAGACCCAGACTCAGGAAACGGGGGTTCTCGCCCACAAACTGCACAACTCACTCGGACTCTATTAACCTTGTTCTCTTATTAACAGAAAAAGAGCTCCTGAGTTAAGTTCGAAATTCTAATATTCTCTAAGTCTTTTGGCTAAACTATGTGATTATAACAAAAAATAAAAAGTAGAAACCACAGAAAGTAGTGAAAATGGAAGCTCCTATTCTAAGCCAACCCTAGAGAAGCTACATGGAAAAGACAGGCAGGAAGAGACAGTGAGGGAAAGTATCAATGTACCGGTGTCCGAGAAAGAGGGACAGTTTGCTCAGGGGAGTCATAAACATAAGTAGTTATCAGAAAAGCTAATTACATGAGTGAGATGACATATGTATAATGTCCACCTAGCAAATGCCCCTAAAATGGTGGTTGTAGTTACCCTCTGTTGTGAGAGAAGATGAGGTAAAAGTCCTATTTTAAAAATGGTAAATCTACCCCTCCTCCTCATGCTTTTTCTTTTTGTCACAGTCTGGCTTTCGGGTAGACTTACCTGTTCATAGCTGATATTTTCTATGAGACAATTTCATGCATCATTAAGCATATTTGACGTTATATTTATAATAACAAACTAACATTTAACTTTAACTCTCCTGTGTTCTTGACTCGAGTATTTCAGTTGTCCTGAAACTCAAACACAATGAACAACAATAAATTTGAGTCACACTGATGACATCTGGCACCTCATCTGGGTCCCTGGATTGATTAAGAATCAGGAGAAAGATTTCTCTGAGATCTAGCTAGAAAGTAGGCAGGGCCGGTGCCTTCAAATATAGACATGTACGGTTAGCAGTACAGGGTTATAGAGCCGGAGGGATTTTCAGCTCCAAGGAAAGACAAAATCAAAATTTATTTTTATGTCGATTCTTCAAAGACCTAGAACCAGAAATACGATTTGACCCAGTAATCCCATTACTGGGTATATTCCAAAGGAATATAAATTATTCTATTGTAAAGATACACGCATGTGTATGTTCACTGCTGTACTGTTCACAATAGCAAAGACATGGAATCAACCCAAATGCCCATTAATAATAGACTGAATAAAAAAATGTGGTACATATACACCATGGAATACTATGCAGTCATAAAAAGGAATGAGATTATGTTCCCTGCAGGAACACCGGTGAAGTTGGAAGTCATTATCCTTGGCAAACTAAGACAGTAACAGAAAAACAAACACTGTGGTCGGGCATGGTGGCTCACGTCTACAATCCAGCACTTTGGGAGGTCAAGGCAGGTGGATTCACCTGAGGTCAGGAGTTCGAGACCAGCCTGGCCAACATGGTAAAACCTTGTCTCTACTAAAAAATACAAAAATCAGCTGGGCACAGTGGTAGGCACCTCTAATCCCAGCTATGCGGGAGGCTAAGGCAGGAGAATTGCTTGAACCAGGAGGTGGAGATTGCAGTGAGCAGAGATTGCGCCACTGCACTCCAGCCTGGGCAAAAGAGCAAGACTCCCTCTCAAAAAAAAAAAAAAAAAAAAAAAGAAAAGAAAAGAAAAACCAAACACACGTTCCCACTTATTAGTGGGAACTGAACAATGAGAACATATGGACACAGGGAGGAATAAAACACACACTGGGGCCTGTCGGAGGGGAGGGGAAGTGAGAGCATTGGGATAAATATCCAGTGCATGCAGGGCTTACCTAGGTGAGCCTCGGTGTTGGGGTGATAGGTGCAGCAAACTACCCTAGTACATGTTTACCTAATGTAACAAACCTGCACGTCCTGCACATGTATCCCAGAACTTAAAATTTTAAAAAAGAAAACTAATTTTTTTTTTTTTGAGATGGAGTCTCAGTCTGTTGTCCAGGCTGGAATGCAGTGGTGCGATCTTGACTCACTGTAACCTCCGCCGCCTGGTTCAAGCAATTCTCCTGCTTCAGCTTCCTGAGTAGCTAGGGTTACAGGCATGTATCAACACGCCCAGCTTGTTTTTGTATTATTAGTAGAGACAGGGTTTCACCATGTTGGCTAGGCTGGTCTCGAACTCCTGAACTTGTGATCCACTGACCTTGGCCTCCCAAAGTGCTGGGATTACAGGCATGAGCCACCACACCTGGCCCCAAAATTAATTTTTAATTGGAGTTTTGATTACTTTCAAAAGCCAGCCACATCTCCAACCCTGCCCAAGTTAGCTGTGAAAGGATAGCAGAGGCCATGAGGCACAAGAAAAGTACTAGCATGCTTCCCCACCATCTCCACGTTCTTCAGTTAAACAAACAGCTAAATTTTCAAGTGCCAGGAATCCTTTGGGGAATAACAGAATCATTTTCACTGGGCGGAAGTCTCAAACCATCTTGATTTCCTTTCCTTTCTCTTGGTCACTCACTGGGTCTCTTCTTGATGTGCCACCAAGCTTCTCAGAGCACTGCCTGCATCTTCATTTTACGCCCGCTTTTGCCGTAACCCC